TCTCTCTTTCTCTCTTTCTCTCTTTCTCTCTTTCTCTCTTTTCCCTCCCCTCACTATCCAGGGCCAATTTTGGTTCTCTTTCCCACTCAACACCTCCTACTTCATAGGCAGCACTGGTCCCCAAGCCCTCCAGCAGACTGAAATCAAGGACTGCTTTCTGCCTGGGTGACTTCCTGTCTTGAGGGGCTCTGCGCCCAAATTTACACCAGAAGAAATCAGCGTAACTCAAGTTTAATATAGCTCAAAGCAGAGCTAATTCTGTGCTGAAACAGTCTGGAATGGCATACCAAACTCTGGTTTTCGCCATATGTACTAGTGTTTCACACTCCTTCCCCCCCCAAAAAATAAGTTTTGGCTCATAGTATTATCTATTTTTATCTCATCTATGACCTATTCTAAAATTACACCAGTTAAGCAAAGCCACCTTTGTCATTTCCTGTCTTATTGGTCTAAAATTGCTATCCAACATAAGCAAGCAGGAAAACATAGATTTCTTTTTAAATAGAAATAAGAAATGGATGATTTATCAGACACATTTCAAAATATTAATGGTGTAAAGACATCTTGACAAATGAGGAACGATTATTCTCATCTTCCCAGACCAAAGTACAGCTGTGAAATCCTTCCAAACAGTGCTCAAGATGTTTGATTTCTATTTTAGTTCATATTTGACAGAAAAGATTTTATTTTTACATTATTTAGGGGAAGTGGGAATGAGTATTTGTTCTGTCCTTTTTCCTTCTTGCTCTCCTTGCTTATCCTCCTGCCCTTTTATTTGTAGTGATTGCAATGCTTTATTACACATGGTCCTGAGAGCCATCAGGAGTTATGTATCTTCTGTAGTCAGTATTTTTCCCTATTATTTTAAGGTGTGGTAAACCCAGCTGTTGCCAACTGAACACTTGAGTCTAGTGTCTGGAAAGTATAAATTAGAAGATAGCTGAAAAACACTGTAGCCCAGAAAAAAACAGATTTTAACTGAAGCACAGACCTGCTTTGGGCTTCTTAGGTGAGATTCTCTACAGCTCATCTTCCATGTTCTAAAGTGATCCTCTAGTTAATGAAAAAAAAAAAAAGTAGGAATACCTGAAGTTAAGAAATCGCAGTATTATGTTGGAAGAAAAGGCTTTGCACTAGAGGAATCCTAGGTCTGAATTGCACTGAATTATGAATAAGAGAAGGGGAAAACATCACTTTTCAGCAATAGCCCATAGTCCCATGAAATTAGTTATAACTAAAGCCATGCTCTGAAGGCATGGCTCCATATTGTTAAGGTTAGAGTTCACTCTCTAAAACAGAAGGAAATGAACACCCTCTCCCAAATTAAATATTCTTCAGTCTGGTTATTGAGTTGAAGTGGCTCATTGACCATATGGCAAACACCAAGGAGGAGCTAAGGGTGGGTGAAAATCTGCACTTGGGACATGAGAAGCTAGCAACACCTCAGCTTCTTGCCCTTGTGAACTATTAGATCAGATCAGCTGCTCCTAGACCTGTCTAGAGGAATCAGTTTGCTCTGCAGATCATCACTTCAAGGCCCATTCTGGAAGAGAAAAGACTCAACCAAACAAGATAAAATAAGCTATTTTTGCTTGTGCAAGCAGGTTGTTAACAATACATTCAGTATGCCATTGAATAGACAATCTGAAATGAAAGAGCTCTGAAATGTCTAATATACTCCATGTGCAAAGATCCATGTATGGCCACACAAACTAAAATTTTCTCAGACTACTGGAAAAATTTGGGAACAATACTGAGTTATTCAGGCAGGGCGTGATCTTTAAAGAAGCAGGTCTGGCACAAAACCAACACAACTATGAAAGAAGTTTACCCAGGGGAAAGTAGGAGAAAAGCACTGAAGAACTGAGGTAACAGAGGAACCAACACTGGGGGAACAGAGGCTCTGTTGTTTTTAAAGGCAAATATTTCAGAAGTCTATTCAGCAAATTATTCACTCAGTCTTAAAGTAATCAGCCCCAAGGGACAAGTTTGGGGCACAAGCCCATTTCACCCAGCTTTTCCCTTTGTCCTGAAGGAGATGACCCCTCTGGCATGGTCTGAATGACTTTCTGTGTCTTGGCACAAGCAGGCATTGCCTGATACCTCTGGTCTCACCCTGTGCTCCCACACAGAGGCACGAGCACAACAAAGTCCCTGCCTATTCCACTGCACTCCCCAGCCACGGCTGCATGGCCAGGGCAAGGAGAAGGAAAGCACTGGGCAGCAGAAAGCAGACAGTTGTCCATGTTGCCTGGAAGAGGGACAGAAATTTGAGAAGGAGGGAGAGAAGGGTGGCTGCTCCAGGGAAAGATGTGTGGTATTGGCTTGGTTGGATGGGAGTAGTGCTGCTGTGAAGAGGAAGGGAGGGAACAAGCTCCCAGGCACAAGAAAAATGAAAGATCAGGCTACAGAAATCACCTATAACAGATATTCACAAACCTGTCAACTTTGGGTGACATCTGTTAATGCTGCAAGCTTTTAGCTCAAGTGAAAGCAGCATTATTGCCCTGAAATATAACACAAGTGCTTCAAGTCTAAATAATTCAGATGTCAAAATGAGTATGAGGAAGAAAATGATTTAGTGGAAAGACTGCTTTGTTTTTGATGTCGCTATTTCTATTTATGCACCCATACAGACACTAACAAATCAGTGAACTGGATGCACAAGCAGACACCATCACTGATTACATCTTTCCCTGAACAAAAGCAAGGAAATAGAGGAGGGGGAAAAAAAGCAAGCAAAACTTATTTAAAAGGCAGAACTATTTGGTGAGATTTTATCTGCTATGCAGTTTAAACAGAATTCCCAAATGATTTACAATCAGAATGTTGAGGGTTGTTGGGCATTGCGAAGGAATTTTAAATAACTCCTGTTGGCAAAGTTTTTTTCTCAGAGTTGCCAAATCTCATTGCTTTATCACAAATCTCATAATGTTGAATTGCTTATTTAAATCAAAATCCAAAGAATTACTGACTAATGAGTTTCTTGCCTTTTTTTCTTCTTTAAATAAATGTAAATTTCTCAGGAACACACTTATTGCAGAAGGTTTCACTTATTGCAGATAATCAGAGTAAATACCAGAGCAGTCAGAGATGTTATTGTTCATGTAGGGTAGTATTGTTCATGTAAGCCTTTCAGGCCTTTCTCTAATCAGGGGAGAAGAAAATTGCTGTTTACAGGCAGCTGCCTGCTGACAGCAGAAGGACACGGGGTCTGCTGGGGCTCCCTGTTGTTCTGCTTGCCCTGGTTAATAAACCCTGGCCCCAGATTAGCTCTCACTCTGTGCTCCTTCACCTTCCCTCCACCCTGCCCTCTCAGGGGTCTTTCCACGTTACTGAAAATTTCATTAATATAAAAAAATTCCATTGACTTCACTGCGACTCCACCCAGATCGAGCAGCCCGTTTGACCAGCCCATATAGAGCAGCTATAATTAGAAAACCCCCACAACACAGCAGTACTTTTTAATTAATTCCACTTCTTCTAGGGCTGGGGGCAGGATTTGTGCCTATTACCTGCCCTGACCATTGTGTGCAGAGGTCCGTGATGGACACCGAGCTGCCTTCATGGATACGCAGGTGTGCACAGGCAGTGTTGTCTCTGGTCATGTATGGGACAGGCAGCCCAGGTAAAACCCTGACCTTGGTCTGATTTAAAGTTCAGGTTTTTGTTGTGCTTTCCCTAGCAAGCACTTAATCTTCTTTGATTGTCAGTAAAACACCAGATGTATAAATGTTTTAAGGAGACATGTCAGGACGGAGCCTGGTGCTTCTGGTGTCAAGCAATAGGACAAGAGGCAATGGGCAGGAACTGAGGCACAGGATGCTACACCTGAACATGAGGAAGAACTTCTTTACTGTGTGGGTGATGATGATGTGCTAGAACAGATTGCCTAGAGAGGTTGTGGAGCCTCCCTCACTGGAGATATCAAGAACCCTCTGGATGCAATCCTGTGCAGTGTGCTCTAGGACAACCCTGCTTGAGCAGGGAGGTTGGGCCAGATGACCCTCTGTGGTCCCAACCTGACCCTTTCTGTGATTCTGTGATTTCATCCTCCATCTGATCAAAGGCACATGAGGGATTTTTGGACAGCAAAACTCTCAAAAATTGAGTTAAACCCCTGAAGATGTAATTCAATTGCACACACTTGAATTACAAGTTTTCTGTTCCTGTTTTCTGTGTCATTAGCATACATCAGTGTCATCTGGAGGCTCTTTGTGGGGACCTGGGGACTCCACAAATGCATTCCAGTTGGAATGGTTGTAGCCAGGTGGGGGCTCACCTCTCTTCCCCAGTGACTACTAGCAGGACAACGAGAGATCACAGTCTTCAGCTGCACCAGGCAAGGTTTAAGTTGCACATTAGGAAGATTTTCCTCACAGAAAGGGTAGTTAAACATTGGAATGGACTGCCCAGGGAGGTGGTGGTGTAACCACCCATGGAGGTGCTTAAGGAGAGACTGGACACGGCCCTTAGTGTCGCGGTCTGATTGACATGATGCTGTTCAGACTCCATGATCCCAGAGCTCTTTTTCATCCCAAATGACGCTGTGATTCAAAGAGCAACAAGCGCAGACCTTGCGCAGCAAACCCACCTCACAACAGGCCTCTGACAGATTCGCATCTGGCCTCGACGAGGCAGAACCTCCCTTACCCTCACGCCCCGATCCCCTCACGCCCCGGTCCCAGGAACGAGCCCCGCCGGCCCCCGCGGGAACGGATCCGCCCCCTCCCCGGCCGCGCATGCGCGCTCCGCCTCGCGGCTGCAGCCCGTCCGTCCGCCGCCGGGGGCGCTAACCCGCGCCCGCCCGAGCCGGCCGGGGGCGGTTCCCGCTCGGGTCCGCGCCCGGATTGCGATGGCGGCGGCGACAGGAGCCGGAGCCGGAGCCGGGGCTGGAGCGGCGGCGGGCGGGGGAGGCGGGGAGCGGAGCAGCACCCGGGACCGGCTCCTGGCGGCGCTGGAGGATCTCGAGCTCTTGGCCAGGTACCGCATTCGGGCCCCCGTCGGCCCCGGGAGGCGGCGGGGCACCGGGGGCGGGGTGAGGGCTCCCGGCGCGGTGCGTGCGCGGCGGGCGGAGCGGCAGCCCCCGAGGCTGAGATGGGAGGGGCCCGGCGCGACTGGAGCCGGCGCTGGCCCGAGCCGCTCGGGTTCGCCTTCTGCTCTCTGGCCGTCCCCGGGCCGGCTCTGCCGGTGAGGGGCTGGAGCTGCAGCGGGGCTCGGCCCGGCCCTGCGCAGCGCTGCCCGGCGCTCGTCCCTGTGGGAAAGCATCGGTGGTTTGCAGAGAGAAGGAGCAGCTCCCTTTTTCTCCCTCTTGCCTTTGTCACTTGGTTGACACCTGCGTTTTCTGTGAAGTGCACTCTTACACGCCGATTTTAGGCATTCTATTACTCACTAAAAAATATGCTTAAGTCAGAAATGCGTAGATGGTGTTGCATGACATCAGCTCTCCTGGTCACTGCCTGTATTAGTGCTACATTCATTCCAAGTAGGCTGCAGAGCTCCTATGCAGAGTGATAGAAATGCTCAGATACGTAATCCAGGGTCTTGAGTCCTGGCTGGTAATCCCCATCCCCGTTGACAACCATGTCGTGGAGGCACAGCTGGCAGTGAAGTTCAGATAGTTCCTAATTATTTTCCACACCTCAGGGAGAGCAGGAGCTTAGGAAAGCATTTTCAGAGGAAATAACCTGTGCTATCCATGTGTATAGCTCGCTTGCTCAGTGATTACCAAGAGGAGGATAAGCTATTGGTGAGTTGCTCTGCTTGTATCTGGGTAACCTTTCTCCTCAGTCACAGATTTTATTGTGACATAAGAATTGCTGGAGAGCATGTGTTTATGGAAAAATGAAAACAAACTTGTTCCTTATCTAAATTACTTACTTTTTTTTTGAATGCTAGCGTTCTACCACAATGAAGCCACAGCAATGCTCAGTGGCATTTAGAGAATCTTCCTATTGATCAGCAAAGTGTTGCAGCACCCTGGGGGTAGGCCTTTCTCTGTCACAGTACTCGTTTGGTGGTAGGGGCAGAAATTAAGCCACATGTCTAATCTGTTGCCTTTCTGTAGTTTTGAATCTACATCTGTGCATTATGTACACACAGCAGAATTACAGCACCCTGTGACATCACCCTCGATGGTGGTACCTGACCTACTTAAAATGGATTTGCTGCTGCTCAGTGTTGGTCAGATGGAATAAAGCTTTAGTAACAGTGACAAGTTTCTTTATTCTCTAATTGTTTGAAACCATAGTAGTGTTCAGGAGTGAGCAAGAGACATAGACCAAGAGCAGGGCTTTACTGGGGTTTCTTCTGAGACCTTTCTGGCTCCACTGCTGTATTACTCACACACCCCACTGAGCTGGACCAAGCAAATAACCAGTACTTGCAAGGGCAGTGTCTCCGTGCTTAGGGTTGAACTGCCATTCAGAGTCTTAGAAGCCAAATAACTTTGCTGAGTTTACAGAGAATGCCTTTTTGCATTGTGATACCCAGAGGTTCTTGAGAACAGTGGCAAAGTATCTGGATATCTGGAAGAGTGATCAAGAGGTCTGTTTGAGAAGCACTTCCAGCACCAGAATATTACCAGGGTTCTTTATATTTTTTGTGTGCTTGATGCACAGCTAATATATTATTGTGGAAATACTTGTAAAAGTAGTTCCATAACAGACTCTGTTGGTATTTGAAAGTGTAGACTTAGTTGCTCTAAATAACAAGTATATTGGGGAAAAAATGGAGAAAAGTAGAGAAGTAAAACAGTGAAGACTCTTGCAACAAATAAAGGTAGTAGAAGAAGGGTCTGAGGGCACTCCATTATGCTGTTTCTTCTCTTATCTTCTGTTTATGTCTTTTATGGTTTAACAGGAACTTAGCACATTTCTTGAGTTCAAATACATGGGGGCTTCATGATAAATAACAAATATAGCTCAAATAAGAAATAATAGCTAAAATAACAAAGAAAAAAATGTGTTTTCTTGGTTGAAAAATCCCTGTCTACACTGTACTATAAAATATAAAATACTCAGGTCCATGAATACTTTTGTAATGATACCAGTCCTGTGGGTAATTTTGGGATGACTTGATGTGAGAATGCCTTAGAAAATTGTTCAAACTGAGTTCTCCTTTCAGGGAGCTAATTGAAATTTTGGCAATTTCAAGAAACCAAAAACTTCCACAACCAGGAGAGGAGAGCCAGGTAAGCTGACTTTCTGAATTGTGTTTCTTTGGGTAAGCATAATGCTTTACTTCTAACTTTTTTCCATTCTTTTGTTTGTTCTTACTTTTTCCCTTTGTCCGTGCCTATATCTGAGTTAATGGTCACAATGGGGCTTTGGCCCTGCTGCAAAGGCATTATTGGTTCTCCTGTTTTTTATTCATTTTTTTTATGTGCTTCATAGGCTGTTTCTGCAAACAGGAAGAAATTTTGTTTCATTTTTCATTCAAACAAAAATACTCCTATGGATGCCATTTGCTCTTCTTTGTAGCATGACTGAGGGTGTGTTGTTACTCTAGCCAAATTAAAAGTTGTACAAAACTGTCGTTCAATAGATCCTGGAACTGCTGATTCAGAGAGATGGAGAGTTTCAAGAGCTGATGAAGTTGGCAGTGGATCAGGGAAAAATCCATCATGAAATGCAGCTCTTAGAAAAGGTAGTAGAAAAGCGGGATAATGATATTCAGCAGCTGCAGAAACAGCTTAAAGAAGCAGAGCACATACTGGTAAGTTCATAATGATGTGTTTGCTTTTGAGCATCTACTTGTAGAAAAGGTGGTTCTGAGCAAAGTGATGTTATGTTAGTTTGAGAAGATTTAAATATTTAAAACTTCATAAGAGCTTATTGGTTTGAGTTTTTTCTAATTAGTCAAACACTGTTTAGTTATTCATGGTATTAAGTTTTTTTTTAAATAATGCTAATTTGCTTTTAAATCTACTTTATTTCAGTGTATTTGGAAAATGTTCACAGAAGTTTCTCTTCTAAAATGCAACTAAATGGAAGGGTTTATTCACAAAGCTGACTTTATGTAGATGTTTATAAATGAAAGATGCATTGAAGGTTTGGTTTCCTTTGTGGGTTTTTATTTTTTACAACTAGGCAACAGCTGTTTATCAAGCAAAGGAAAAACTGAAATCAATTGAAAAAGCACGAAAAGGTGAGTATCCATAATTGTACATACTAAGTAAAAGCAATTCTAAAGAAAGTTGTTAGTGAGCTCAAATTGGGCCTTTTAAATTTTTTTTAAATTCTCCCATCACAGATTTCAGATGCTTTGTGTGTAAACAAATTTCCATTTCATTATGAAACTGTAACCATTTTCTCAGAATAAAGACAGCATTGAATTTTTTTTTTTTTTGTGGCAAACATATTTTAATATGAAAGTGTCTCAGCAGTCTTCTTGGACTGATAATAGTATGTCTGATTACTTAAGTACCTTACCAGATTTCCTCAGGAGGTTTGCTAAGGAAAGGAAGAGAATGTTTGTGTGTATATGCACACACTGACTAGCTGGTGATAGGTGATACTAGACTATAATTGTAGCAATTCCTGCCATTCTGTGGCACTTCCCAAACTAACTTTTTTTTGGAGGAGGGAAGGCGTCTTCTTCAGGTTGTTTTGCTTGGGTTTTTTTTGGTTGGGTTTTTTTTTCTTTTTTTTTTTTTTTATGGTGTCTTCTGTCATTTTGTTATGCCTCTTTCATCTAGAAAATCAAGGAATTGAATAAAGTTTTTATTAATCTAATACAAGCACATATTTGGAAGGACTCTTCTGGCTACAGTCTATAGTTACTAAACAAACAAATAAAACTTCTTTGCTACAGAAAATTCTATAGTAAGCAGGAGGTAAAGTTTTAGACATTTTTTGTGCTTGTCAAGTACTCTTGTTTAAGAGATTGTTTGTGGTTTTCATGAGGTTGAAGAACCATTGATATTGAAGGTCTTTTGTACTTGTGTGTGTAAAATCAGTTCACTGCAAAGCTCATCTTTGCATAGATTGAGAATCTTCTAAACAGTTATTGCTTTTGAACCAGGCCCTTAATGTTTGGCAAAATCACATTCCCAGCCTTTTAGATATTGGTGGACAATATTCTGAAATAATTAAATGACACAATCTCTTGAGAATGCAGCAACATTTTTTTCCATTCTTCCAGGTGCCATTTCCTCTGAAGAAATAATTAAATATGCCCATAGGATCAGTGCTAGCAATGCTGTTTGTGCCCCTCTGACATGGGTACCAGGTAACTGTTGTGTTTATGACAGTAGATTTTTTTTAATAATAAATCATGGTTAATATCTGCTCTTAAAATGTTTTTGTACAGTGATAAACACCAGGGTTTATTAGACTAGAATTGTTTTCAGCTGTTATATGTAATATTAAATTCTAAATATTTAGTTTTATCTAAAATGAATATCCGAAATCCTGTGGACTTCACATACATCTCCAAAAGGTTGTGAAACTGTCTGCTTTCATTAGCAGACTGGCCTCTGTTCTTCCTTGTTTGCCTTTTTCCCCTGAATGTTTACCCTGATAATAAGTCAAAGCCAAGTATGCAAAGGGCTTTTCTGTGTGTTTGGTTGTGTTCCCTCTTGCCCTGTACAATATTCTTTCAGAGAGTGTTAGTAAACAGTGGAGCCAGAAGCAAAACTTTTACTATGACATGTTTCAATTTTGGGTACAACCTTATTTGTCCAAAATGAAAATGTGTTTGATCCAATTCCTGTCCTTGCTGTTTAGCTGTGAAGTAGCAGGATGAGCAAAGATATCTTTTTAACATGATGGGGTTTTTTTTTTGTTTTGTTTTGAGTTGCTTTGGGATGTTAGGGGTTTTTTTAATATGCTTTTTCTGCCAAGTTTGAGTGAACAAATAAAGTCTGAGTGAAAGACAGACTTGAATTTTAATAAACAGGTGTGATGGTCATTACTCATCCAAGCAAACAGAGTATGGGGTTTTTTGGTAATTCAGTTAGGTTCTGAAGCTAAAGCTGATGCTTGCAAGACAATTGTTAAATATTTCAAGGCATTCTTTTTCCTTTTTTTCTTAAAGGGGACCCACGTAGGCCATATCCTACAGATCTGGAAATGAGAAGTGGTCTCTTGGGTCAGATGAACAACCCACCCACCAATGGAGTCAATGGACACTTACCAGGGGATGCACTTGCAGCAGGCAGGCTGCCAGGTAAGTGAAACTCAGTTTTGTTTTTTCTTTATTGCTTATAGATTCACAGCAGTTATACATTTCCCTTAGCAAAGGTAAAGCAATGAAAATTGTGGTTAATGTTGTTCCTTAGCAGTGAATACCTAGTAAAGAAAGGTAATTAGAAGTTGCATATTTTTTGTGTGTGTTTTAGTAGAGCCCATTTTGGCTGGCTCCTTTGCCTTAGAGGATGCAGACTTGATCCATTTACTTTTGAGTGCTGTCTCTATAAGAACTGAAAGGGATTTCCAGGAATTTTAGGAATTTTCCTTGAGAAACTGGAAAACTGGAAAAACTCCTCCAGTAAAATTCTTGATTGAGTCTTGGGCTCCTCTGTCAGGTTAAACACTCACACAGACTGTCAAGGTAAGAGGGAAACATTGATTTACAAGAAAGTTGAAGCTGCCTGGGCATTTTGTGTAGGGATGCTGAATCTGTTGGTGTGTGGAGGCATATCCTGAGAATGCTAATTATGGGATCTAGTCCTTTTGGAGACTCCTGCAGAGATGTCCAGTTACTGAGTCCTTGGTGAATGTGCAGACCAGTTTCTGGACTGCTCAGTAGCCTCCAAACTTTGAGGCTACTTAGCACACCCATTCAGCCTGGTTTAATAGCAGACTGCTTCTAGCATTGAAGCATGGCCACACTATGCAAAACACTAGCTTCCATTCTGAGCTGCTTTTCAGGCATATTTGGATAAAGCCTTTTTCTCTGAATTTTTATGTTCTGCCTGAATTTTTTTTTTAGTCTAATATTTTAATCTATTTTTGCATACTGACAGACTGTGATAATTTTCTTTACTCCCAGTAGTTGTGAATGCTGAATCAGTTCAAACTGTGCTTTGAAGATGAAAAGCTCTGTATTAATAGAGTATGAGTTATCAAGAGCCACCTACATAAATGAGCTCTGGCAGAGCAGACTTCTACAGTTATAGAATTGCTCCATCATGAGATGTTTTCTAGCTCTTTCTGGAGGGTTTAATCTGTCCAAAATTTAGAAAGGATTTCAAGATTTGTTCTGATTTTATATTGAAGTTCTGGTTGAGCTGTCAAGTTGAATTTGTCAATGTACAAAACTGAAAGTTTTCTTCATGATGCCTCTGTTTTTCCAGATGTGCTTGCTCCTCAGTATCCTTGGCAGTCAAGTGATATGTCAATGAACATGCTACCTCCTAATCATAGTAATGACTTCATGCTGGAGCCTCCAGGACACAATAAAGAGAATGAAGATGATGTAGAAGTTATGTCAACAGACTCCTCAAGCAGCAGCAGTGACTCAGACTAGGTACAAGGGGGACAGTATCCCTAGTAGACCTTTCCTGTGGTGAAGGTAGGTTAGATGCTGTTTGTCACAAACTGCAATATCCTTTTGTTACACTAGCAGCCCTGTGTAGGGAGAAGATAACAGCTGGCTCAGAAATAGGGTGACTAATTTAAAACCATGGACTACAGACTTGTTTTTTTCCTGTTAGATGTTCTGGGAGGTGGGAGAAATGTCTGGGAGCTGTCTGCTGGGAGAGAGATGTCAGATTTTCAGTGATTGTGTAAATGTATGTTTGCAAGAGATGTGTAAATATATATTTATATATATGTATTTACTATACATTAGATGACATAAGTTCTTGGGAAAAAATGTGTAAGGGGAATCCCCTTGTATGTTTATTAGTAACTTTACTTTTTTGATGATAGCCTTTTCTATGCCACAGAAATGAAACATGAAGTTTGTAATGTATCTTTCTTTTGTTACTGCCTAAATCTCTGTTCTTGATCATCTGTGTATCAAGGACAAAAATATGGCAATAAGGTGTAATAAAAGAGCTTGTAATTATTGTAATATATAATGAATGATTTGTCATAAATAAACTCAGCTTTGATCTAACTTCAGTTTCCCAGACTTGAATCTTAGATGAGTTGCCATGTAACTTCAATACTCAGCACATTTTATCCCAGTTGTGGCTGAATTCTGACTGAGTTTCAGAAGTTTGTACTCCCTTTTCCCCTATGCAAAATACCCAGTCAGCATTAGAAGCAGCTGAGGAGGAGTCAGAGGTGGAAAGCCTGTCCTTCCTTTTCAGGTGAGCCCTTCCAGGCACACACAAAGCTGGGCAGACCCTGAAGCAGCGAGTGCCCACCCACAAGGCTGCCCCAAATACTTGGTTAAGTGTCCTGGGACCCTGGAGGTGGCACACTGTGGGGCATGCTGCAGGTTTAGCTCCTTTCAGATCAAAGTGCTCAAGGATTTTTTTGTCCTTGTCATCTATAATTTTTTCAGTTCTTTGAACCTGCTAATTTGTTTACTTTCACAACTGCATTTCCTGCATTAGCTGCAATGTTATTTTGTCTTTCCAAAGGCACTCCCCTTGGCTTTCCTTTTCTTGTTCTGTTTTGCTTAAGGAGTCATTTTATGACAGCTGCTTTTCTCTTATGTAACCCTCTGATAGAATTTCAAAACTCACGTGAACTGTTGCTCCTGGCAGTTAAAGGTTTCTGTCCTGCAGCACATCTTCCTGCAGCACAGATCACAATTCTCTTCCCTTTTCCATTTTGTAGATTCCTCACAGGAAGTATCTGATGAATCAGGTAATTCCTCCTTTGCTCAAGTAATCTTTCAAACATTGCTGCCAGTAATGCTGCCACCTGGGACCAACCTGTACAAATCCCTTCAGGCTGTAGAAAGAAGGACTTCAGTTACATTCAGTCACATAATATGGGGCAGTGGGTTTTGTTTTCAGAGAAATGTTTTTGTCTCAGCTGTTCCTTTTAGAAGTATTTTCAGAGTTATTAAACTGTCACCTCTTTCACAGCTTAAAGTTATTAATATATGTACATACTGTAACGTTTATTCAGTGTCGTGTTCTCCTCTTGGGTGCTTACCTCCAATGTCTTTCCTCTTTAATTCACATTAATCCAAATACACGTGCCCTGTCTCAGTCATTCTAGTTAACCTTGCCTACCCCTTTTCTAGCTCACATTAGTGATCAGAATCGTACACAATATTACAAAATGGAATTTCTTAATGCTTTGGATAATGGGATTGGTATTTTCTTTCTAAATGCCCCTCTCTTAACACAGCACACACAGTTCACTAGCCTCTTTTATCTTCTAACTTACAAGGACATTCTTGAAACAAAATACAAACGAATGTAATTAAAGCTCATGGGAAGTGTAGTGTTACAGTCTACTCAAAACTATGGCTGTATCTATGTAATTCACCAACTGAAATATTGTGGAGGTGGGTGATTGTTTTCAGACATAAGAGGGAACTGAAGCAATGACCACTTCTTTTTCTGGCTTGTTAGTTACTCTGTTATGGGATTAAATGGAACCAATATATTCCATCTAATAAATAGGTAAGTCAACAGTACTGCCCACTGTTCACTTAGCATAAAATCAAACTCTGGGATTCTAATCAGTTTCTTTGCATCAGTGCTTCAAACTATGTGCAGTTCAGGAGTATGCTTCTCAGTGCTGGCTAACTGTAATGCCATTTTAGGTGAATTCTGTCAGTTACAAGCAGTTTAGTGAACCATGATATGATATGGTGGCTTAGATATGAACATAATAGATTTTCCTATTTAGCAAAAGTACAAAAAATCAAAGTAAAGATTTAGTTGAAAGGACTGAGTATTGGCAGCTAAAACCAACTGAGAACCACATTTTCTGGAGGGGTGGAAAATATAAATGTGTGATACATACAAAGTTATTTAAGTTGGGGAATGCTGACAGCTGGTTGCAGTAATGCACTGTAGTCTTTTAATCTGTCCATTTTGAAAAGATACAGAAATGCTGACATATGGAGATACTGTTGTGTCCTCATTTCACTGTCTACTTGTGTATTTACAAGAAATAGAAAGTATATATCCATTAACAAAATATGCCAAGAAAGTATTTATTGCATGACAGACCATTTTACACTGGTCCCAGTTCTCTCATCAGGACCTAGATGTTTTCTAAAATAAAAAATTGTACTAAATAATTTAATTTTTTTTCTTCATTATTCTTTGTGACAGATGGGCAGGACATCTGTCAACTCTTCCCACAGTTTCTTTGTTGACAGCTGAATGGAATAATTTTCAGTGTACATAAGGTTGCTTGCAGGAAGCAAATCTCCACTTTTGAATAGAAAAATAAGATTTTTACAAAGTTACAGTAGCAAAGGAATTTTTGGTGAAATTTCCCATTTCAAGACTGCTGTGTAACATTGCTTCTTTCTTCCCTTCAGAGAATGGGTGTCTGTCCTAAGGGAAGTTGCACATAATTAATACTTCAAACTCTAATTAGGAGGATTGCCAGGGGCAGTAGCATCCTTATGCCTCATCACTCTGTTTCTCAGCAAGAAGAGCCATCTCCATTTAAATAAATGTATGCTCAAAGTAAGGAAGAGCCTTAAATCCCTCAAGCTGATTTCTTTTAAGAACTGAGAAGTCAATTCATAATTCCAGGCAATTTTAATTTCTCAGTATTGTGCCTGTACTTTATTCAAAAGAAATTAAAGAAACCTTACAACATTTTTGTACAATGAATATATCTAAAGGGAATAGACAAGAGGTATGCTATAAAAGAAGCCTGACAAGAAAAAAAATGAGCCAACCAGTGATTTGAAAGTTATATCTTAAAATTAATCACTGATGTCTTAGTGACAACAGCTGGAAAAGAATCAAAATTAGTTACAGATTCTAGAAAAATTAAAAATATTAACTTCTTGGTTTTGTATGTGCTGTTGGGTACTGTAATTTCATTCACTAACAACAGTGTCATTTAATCAGTCAAACTGAAAATGCACAATTTTACCAAATCTCAATAGTCAGCCATACAGAACTACACCCATGTGTGCAGTTAAACACTCACAACTCTTTTTAGCCACTAAGTATGATTTTTGCCATGGAGCTACACTTATAAATGAGATTTGTGTCAGCCTAGTAGAGCAGGCACCTCTCCATTCCAAGAATTCAGTAACAAACTCTGATAAATTGCAGAGATCTGAGACATTTCTGCAGATAAATTCAGTGTAAATGAGGCTCTAAACAGAACTCTGTTATGAAAACAACTGGCAAGAAGGGTCAGGGAATTTTCATTCCCTGCAATAAGCCATGACAATCTTTTCACATTTATAATACTCTTGATTTTCAAGTGTATACTGCTGACTGCAGGGAAAAAAGGCATTGTCTATTAAATGTAACTTTTGCTCGTGACAGTAGCTTCCTAAGTGAAGCTAAGAGACCAGATCAAGTTTTAAAATTGATCTAATAATTACAGGAAAGCAGGTTTGAATGAGTAAGTTTTGCTGCAACTGCTTTTAAGTGAGTAAGCTTCCTGGGCTAGTGCTGATTTCCAAATGGCTGGTCATCAATGTAAAGACTAACTAGATAAAACACTGAGTTTTCTGAAAAAGAAAAAGTTAATTATTAACTACTGAACCTAGAAATGGGTCTGGAGTGAGAGACAACTGTCATGTGAAATACAGGAAAAGCACTGAAACAGCTGGCATGTTCTTCTTTGGGAAAAGATAATATTTTCACATGGGCAGGGTGAGCACTTCGTATCTTTTTTTCTTTTACACCAAAAAAGCAGGTCTGTCCTTTAGTTTGTTACATAACATACAATTTGTTTTTACTCTAATTGGTGACTTCCCGTGTACCCCTTTAGATGATCGAGCTCTTCTGTAAAAGGATTGTAGCCTTGCTCTCTTAAACAGCGTAAGGCCCAGAACAGTTGATCTGCTGGAGGAAATTCATCCCATCTGACCCATTCCCAGCCTGTAGGGAAAAAAAAAAAAAAGAAAAGGAAAAAGGAAGAAAAATCTGAGTAAAGAGTTAAGACAGGACCCAAGGAAACAGCATGAAGCTGTGGCAGGAGAGGTTTAGGCTGGATGTTAGGAAAAGGTGGTGGGGCACTGGAATAGGCTCCATAGTGCAGCCTGACAGAGCTCAAGGAGTGTTTGGACAACTCAGTCACAAGGCGGGATTGCTGAGTCTGCCCCGTGCAGGGCCAGGAATGGAATTTAATGATGCCTGGGGGTCCCGTCCAACTCAGGATATTCTTTGTTTCTGTGATATAACAATTCTTCCTCCAAGTCTAGATGGATCATATAGAAACTACCAATACAAAGACAGGTAACAGAGTCATTTTGCCTGAGCAGCTTTTTCATTTCCCAGAGAAGCTGCGGATGCCGCATCCCTGGGAGCGTTCAAGGCCAGGCTGGATGAATCTGGGAGCCGCCTGACCTAGTGGGAGGTGTCCCTGCCCGCGGCACGGCGCTCGGAACTAGATGCTTACTCACCCTCGTTCTTGTCGGGCTCCTGGTTGCGCGGCTCGGCGCCCGGCTCGGCCTCGCCCTTCATGAGCACGGTGACATAGTGGTAGCGCTGGGCCGGGCACGCCGCATTCACGGCCGACGCGAACCGCACGTGGCGCAGCGGCAGCGCCGCCTCCTCCAGCGTCTCCCGCGCCGCGCACTCCGCCAGGCTCTCCCTGCGGGCGGCAGGCAAGGGAAGGCACGGCACGGCACGGCCGCCTCAGGGCACGGCGGGCAAGGGGAGGGCAGGGCGGGGAGGGAGGGAGGCGCGGGGCTCCTACCCGAACTCCAGGTGGCCTCCGGGGAGCTGGTAGGTGCCGGCGCCCAGCGCGCCTTTCCGCTTGCCCAGGAGGACGCAGCCGGGGTGCGCGGCGCTGGTGACCACCACCCCCACGCCGACCCCCGGCCGCCGCGGCTGAGCCGCCTGCTCGCCCATGGCAGCCCCGGGAGCTCGGCCAGGCTCGGTCCTGCCGGGGCAGGCGGGGGCGGATCCGCCAATCGCGGTTCGGGATGCCGGGTTTTGGCAGGCCCTTGGCGGGGGAGTGACCCGAGAGCGGGAGTGCGCCTGGTGGTGACGTCGCTGGTGAGGAAGCGGGCGAGGTTCCAGGGCAGGATCGACAGGGAGCGGTGCCCTGTCCTGCTGTGTGCCCGGGATCCTGGCCTCTCAACCGCAGGGACTTGTGAGCGCGCCGGGAATAGAAAAGGCGTTTGTGCAAACGAGGGGCAGCTGAAAACAAGCAAGACGCGACTCGATTTTTGAAGGTCAAGGAGCCAGTCGGTCTCTGACTGCAGATTTGTTCAGGATTTAAAAATTAGCCCTTCTTTGGTTAGCCCACTGTTTCTGGCCTGCGAAGAGTCTGACTCTGAAGTGTCACGTGAATTTTTTTAAAAAGGAAGCTACAAACTTAGCTGAACAGAAGTCCACAGGCAGAATAACAGTTCCTGACTGATAAAGAAGAAATAAAAGTTTCTGCTGGCAAATACTTAGCTTTGTGAAAAAACGCCAATCACTTGTTTTTAAAATTTTAAAAGTTTAATAGAAATAAAATGATTATAAAAATAGTAATACAATTAGAGTAATAATAATTTGGACAATTTGAATTAGGACAATTTGAGGCAAAAGAGACAAAGAGTTATGGACGTTTGCATACCTTTTCTGGGCAGCACGAGCCCGAAAAAGGACCCCCGTTAACAAAGCATTAACCTTTAAAAGCAATAGCCTGTTGCATATTCATACACTTCATACATAATGCATAAATTCCATTCAAACACAGGATTCTGTCTGGTCAGTGTCAACTTCTTCCTCTGAATCCCAACAGCGCCTTCAAGGCGGGAAGAAGTTCGTTTCTTCTGACAAGAGAGCAATAAATTCTTTTTCTCCGAAATATTTAGGTGTCCTGTGGCTGCTATCTCGCTGCAAGTCCTTTCTTTAAAAAAAGTATCCTACATAGCATAGTTTCTATTTTAACATTTTTTATAACCCAAAACTACTTAAGAGAACTAATACAGCATTACTTTCTAACACAACACATATAATATTCATTTTAATATTTTCAAAAAGTTAATCATAAAATACACCTTTTTCACACCTTCATTCTCACATTTTTATGAATTACAGAGATATGTAAAATACAATTCAGCTTTCATTTTCTTTATAAACAACTGTAAAGTTCATCAGATTTTCCCCTTCTTCTGCCTATTGATAATAACAGAGAAAGAAGTTTTATATTTGCAGACCTTTCAAATTGGTTTTGGGGATTTTTTTTTTTGGTAAGGTTCTAAAATATTTATGTACAGATGTTTTTATGTACATATGAAAGTCACAGGGCCAAACTGGCTAAAGCTTAATCACATTTTCGGGGATCAGTCTTCTGGGGTTTAACTGCCCGAAGTGGCTCAATGCAGCATCAGATGTGTCCCACTGTTGGCATGAAGGGCATGTCAGGAGCAAATGTCTGGGTGTGCTAGAAGCAAGGCTGCCCTTTGGCAGTATTTGGCCCTGCTGCTTAACTGTGATGTCAGCCCATACCCTGTGGTAATCATATATCCTCTGAACAGAGAGAGACACAGCTCTCCCAGGATTTTCCTGGGAAGCTGTGAGAAGCTGTGAGAAAGCTCAGAGAAAGAAACAAAACAATTATATCAACCTCTGCACCTGGCAGGCAATCTCCGTTTGTCAAAGATGTTTACAAGGAGTTGTCCCTTCTTGACCAATAGGTGAGAGAAGATTCCTGAAGACCAATCAGGTCTTAGGACCCCCATTGTTTCTACAAGAACTGTGGATTTCTAATAATAAAGTGCCTTTTCATGCCTTCTGATGATGGAGTTTCTGTATCACCTTTGGCTCTCCCTGATACCCCTTCAGTGATAATACCCTGAATTACTGACATTGGTAAATAACAGCAATAATAATAAATAATCTTGAGCAAATTGCCAAGCTAACAAGACTTTTTGTAAACCAAGTTCATTCATTTGTATCTGTCTCCCCAGTTGAGTATCCTATGTATCCTAATCCATGAGGATATTCATAGGAGTATCCTAATCTCCAGATGAAACACCAGACATATGAGTTATATCATGTCCGTATTTACATTTTAAGACAACAATCTTACAGAAGCCATATCAAAGATTCCTCCTCACCCACAAAGCTCATTTTGGTCCAATACATTAAAACACGACAAAGTTTTTTACCTGAACAGTGAAAACATTCTACTTTCTATGTACACCATTTTCCTTTACCTTTTACCAAACAGCATTTAGTGACAAGTCTTGAGGGTGACCCATTGATTTATTTTTAAATTAAAAAAAAAAAAGTCCATATGGTCATTATGCTTATTTACTATATTAGCAGGATACAATTAAATGAAAATGTTATATGAAGATGATTATGTAGAAATGTTATATGATGATTATGTAAAAAGTATGTTTTTACAAGCAATAAATTTTTATTTGTCAGCATGCTAAGATTTTCCCTTCCTCTCTACCATCCTCTTGATCACAACAAAGATGTGAAGTATTATCCTTTTACAAAACTTTAAAATGGCTAATTTTTTGTTAAGGTTTTGAAATCTCCTATACAGATGTTCAGACTTGTTTCAATTTTTTCACCTTACATTTGTGATCATTAATATAAAGAATACTGTATGAAAAGAAGCATTTTGTTGACTGAATCTGTTCTGATTGGTTTCATTCTAGGATTTATTTAGGACATAACTATGCAGCCAGGTATTGCCGATCATGAAGTAAATACAGGTTGGTTTTCTGAGTCTGATGGTGAACAGATGTCCACTGAAGAAAGATATGGGAATAAACCAAGAATGAGAAAGTAGCAAAATCCTCTGCCACAATTTGAAAAGCTTGCAAGATTATGATATATATATACTTGTAAATTTGTTTATTAATATTTCATCTGAGAAAGTACTTCTGTGAGCCAAAACAGTGTATTTGAACCAGCATGTGTCCAGCAGCTACTGGAAAAGAGGCAGACATTTTTCAGGCCCAATCCCTTGTTGTTTATGCTAACATTTTTATTGATTGAAGTGTTATTGAATGAACTGTATGTCTGAGGTGATCTGGATCAAAACCCCCTATTTTTTAAACAATTAATCTGTTTTCTAGCATGCTGTGGGTGGCACAGGGAAGGGATAGGACAGAGTTCAATCAGATTAAACACAGCACAAAGCTAAACCTGACTCAGCAAACTGGGAGAGAGATTACATTTTTAGTAGGATGTGATCCCTGATGCAATTTACGGCTCAGGGACATAAGTGAGGAAGGCAGTGAGTCCGAGCAGCTGGGAACAAGAATGGTGGGACTAACTGTATTAGAGACAGGCCAGATTTATGTCAGATTAAAATGACTACACAGCTGTTCCCTAAGAAGAGCACACATAGGCAAAATAGGTTAGTAAAACACACAGTGTACAACAGCTTATTGAAAAGCAGCTACACAAGCAGAAAACATCCATCTTTCTGAGAATTTCATACACATGGCTCCCTGGCTGTGGAATTTACTATATATTTGCATTCTCTTAGCAGAAGTATGAACTAAGAGATATAAGGATTATATTTAAATATTTTACATTGCAAAGCTGGCATTCAGAAGCTGGGTGGAATGTGACAGCAGTGGATGACCCCAAAGTCCTGCCAGCAACCTGGCTGAAACTTGAACTTGAAAGATTTTTCTTCTCTTGCATTCAAGCAGCTGGTTGTTATCCAGAACCCTGATATTGAAAATGTAACATTGTTAACTGTTTCCTCAGTTTTATTTTAGCAGAATTATTTCCATGACACCACATGTTTCCATTAAATGGCTGTCTTTCACCATAAATTACTGCTTGCTGTAATATTATGGCTTCATAAACATTATTAGTGGAAATTAGGCAAAGTGTGATATGTAGTTTTTATGTTGAAATGTAAAAACTACGTAAATTATTCTCTCCATATGTAAATGTAAAAACTCCATTTACATATGGAGAGAATAATGGTGTGTGCAAGAGCAATAGGACTAATTAGAGCTGTACTACAGGTGTGCTGTCTTCATTGCTTGTTAATTATTTCTTTTCTGTGTCCAGGCAGGACTGAGTCATTGGAATGAGTGAAGGTGCTGAGACAATTCTGCTTTATTTGTAGCTTTGTCATCAACACTAAGTGACCTTGGGCAACTCACAGGTGGGTGAAGATGGATTGTGCTTTGATGAAACTTCTGTGTGCTCAAACCCAGGGAACCCTGAATCAGAAGAATAAAAAAGTGTCTGTTCCTTATCCATCTAGGATAGTACCTGGAGGTCCAGAATGGATGTCTGGAATACAGTAGGCAAGAAATCATGACAGGGCTTTTGAATACTATTCTACAGCCATCTGTAGCTCAGTGACTTCTCAAGGCAGAGGTGGCTTCTGTGTATTTACTAAGTAACCTTCTTCTTGTTTCTCTTTTTTAACCTACCAAAACTCCTTTTGAGCCCATATAAATTTTCATTATTTGCAGCATCTGTGGCAAGGTGCTCCATAGCTTAGCTATGTGAAAGATAATTTTTTGCAAACCAAATCCTTTTGCATTCATTGAGCCTTTCATCTACCAGCCTTCACTGGTTAGGAAGAGATGATGCACTAGTGTTTCATGTTCACACTGTATTCTGTAGAAAACTTGCACCTATCCAGACCTGAGAGTGCACACATCAAAGGCCTGTTTGCTAGGACAGATGTCAGAATCCCCACAGGAAATACACCGGAGCACCTTCAGGGAAGGACCCTGGATTGTCTTTTCTGTATGACTGGGAGAAGAGATGGAATAACCTGTTAATATTGCAAATGGGTGCAGTGAATAGTTTCATGTTGTTAGATAAGCCTGAGGGTCCCCTTAGCAACCTGCAGTTTGTCAAGAGACAGCCAGGATGGTACTCCTGCAGACAAGTGATGCAGAGAGAATCCACCATCTCTAAGACATGCAATGTAAGGCAGTGTAGACACCACTGAAGGATTATCCTCACTCTGCTTCAAAGTCAGTTTTTTTGTTCTGACCAAAGTCAGTTTTTTTTGCTCGGATTCATCAGCTAAACCTGTTTACTCATCTACCTTACAAAAAAAAAAAAAAAAAAAAAAAAAAAAAAAAAAAAAAAAAGTGGGCACTTCCTTCCTGTCTTCAACTAAAAGTGTTCTGGAAAGCTCAGGGTGATTTTCTCCACAGGTACTGGGATGCTTTTTAAGGCCCTGATAAGTTTTGCCTTGGAAATTTCCCACCTCTGCCAAGGCCTCTGAACTCATGGCCTTGGCAGAGGCTTTGACTTTCTTACTCTGATGTTCTCGGCAAGACCATCTCTCCTGATGTTTTTCAACTACAAAGTATCAACCAGTCGAGCTTACAAGGTCTGGGAAATAAATCAGATTGTACCATTGTCACTGCGTGGATGTGATACATTTATAATAAAGCAAATTCGTGTCTATTCATAATGCCTGAGTCTTCCAGGATGCTATATTTGGCCTCAAACAGGATTATTTATTTGTCCTGCTTATCTGTTAAAACTTCTAGTCTCCTTCTATCTCATTTGTTATGTACCTTTT